GCAAACTTGCTGAGGGTGCACTCAGGTGTGAGGCTGAGTAGCATGATTTGACACATTGTGTATTATATTTAACAGTGACTTCTTTGGGAATGTTCACAGTGGTATTTTTTCAGGAACGTGATTGGTTGGCTGATACTCCTTGTCAGATGGATTCAAGTCAACTCCTGACTGCTGGAGCAGTGGGTGCAGTGTGGATCATCCACTAATAAGCTCCACTGAGAAAAGTGGAGCATATTAGCCTGTTGAAAAGAATGAAAATCTGTGTTTGTATTTGGACGTACTTCAGATTTAGCCTTCTGTGGGCAAGAATTTTTAAGGTTCTACACTGAAAGCACTGCAATTTCTGTTGTATGTAGATGGCCTGATTTTTGAAAGGGCATGCCTTCTGTGCTTCTTGGTGGGGAAGCTTTGGGTTCTGGGCAATGACTGTAACTAAAAGGCACAATCGCGTGGTCAGTGAAGCCAAAATTTGTGCTTTTAATCAGGGTGTTGAAGAACTCTAGCTATTATCTTGGTGGTTGCTGCAAAATGGGCCAGTCTGTAGCATCTCTCTCAGTTGTTTGTCTTCTGCCTTGCTGATACCAGTGAAGTAGATCTCCTTTTCTAAAGTGGCTGTTGTGGAAAACCACACAGGAAGTGTTAGGTGAGACTCTTTTCTTTCTCTTTTCTTCACAGGCCGGAACAAGAACATGAAATTAAGTGGCCGACCGCACCGGCACATCGGAGTGTTAGGCACCTCCAAGCTGTACGTCATAAGAAATCAAATATTTGCTTTTACCCCTCAGGTGAGCACGTAAAGCTGACTGGGAAATCACTGCTTACTTAGTGGCTAATAATTAGTGAAGCACTTTGCTTTTACATGTTGTCACTCTGCTTTAGGTAGAGCAGGGCTGATAAAGCAGATGTGCTTTGCTTTGTGGATTTTTAAGAGCGTTGGATGGTCAGCATGGTAGGAGTGCTGATACGTCTTTCTTCTGTCACACAGACTTTGGCTTCTTTGGCTTCTGGCTTAGGAGAACACAGCAAATCAGTAGTACAAGGTTGTTACTGATCTCTGCCCGAACCAACATCCTAGCTAATGAGATAGTTTTTCCAGAAATAGGTCACTTGATATATCTTCCTACTGATGGCTTTTATGGAAAATTTAGTTTCACATAAACATGCCAAGTACTGTAACCCCCAAGAGACTAAGATGTAATCTTTTTGTTATGTTGTTGAAAGGGTCAACAGCACTGAGAGAGGGCTGTTCTGTCTTTTTCTGTTTAGTGCCTTTGTCAATGTAGCTGGAAGTTTGGATCCTCCTATAATCAATATCTTTTCTCTATACATTTAATGAAGTTTGACATGCTTGAGTCCTGCAGACTTGTTCTAGAAGTTGGTGCTGAACACTAAGGAGACACCTACTCTAAGCATGTGGAACTGGAGTAGGATAAAGAATGCTCACACTCTTCTAAATATTTTTAACTAGGGTAGTCTTGAAATTCCAGTGGAAGACATTCAATGGACTCCATAGATAGCTTCTGCAGCGCTTCATCACATCCAAACAACATCATATTCACTGCAAAAAAAAAATGTGTTATCTCTTCCCATTCTTCCCCATGCCAATTAATCACAAGCAGCTTTATAACATTATTTCTTGTGTTGTTCCCCCCACCAATTTTTGCTTTTGCAAATAGGGAAAGCCTTACAGTCATGATTTTTGCCAAAGTACCTCTTTGTCCACTTACTATGTAAGTATGACCCAATATTCCAGCTGAAGTCTTGCCATGTATCAAGTATGTATTACTACATTCCAAAATGGCATTTACCTTTGTGTTAGCAGCACACTGGCAGTTGCTGCTTATTCTGTCTTTGATTAAAGCCTCCATAAAATTTTCCATTGTACTTTGTAGCAAGACATTTCTCCCTGACATTTTTTTTTGTGGGAGGTGGAACTAATGTTTAATTTCACCTTCCTGAGGTTAGCAGTTAACTTGTCTGTATTGATACTGACTAATGTCTGCAATTTTTTTGGTTTTGTAGTTTGTATTTCATCTTGTTTTCCACGGAAAACATTAATTACGTGTGGGGCAAAGGTTGCCCATTTACATACCCTCTCATTCTGAAAAAAAATGGTTAATAACTTTTGAGAAAAATTTTCCAAGATGTTCTGCCTCCTCAGATGTATTTTCTTCAGCTCACTAGTACAGAAATTTGGAAAATTGAGAGTTGTTAGCTACTCCTATGAACCTGCCATCTAGTTGCTCCCAAAGAAGGAAATTGGACTCATTTGCTGAGACTGTTTTTTGATGTGACTCTTTAGCTGTCTTGCTTTGTTGTTTGTGATTAACTTGGCAGTCTCAAATTTGCTTTATTTTCCTGGGCTTTCAAGCATTGAAACTGGCTGGAGTGCTTGGTGTTATCCTGGGTCTTCCTTTTTAAGGACAGGCAGTGTGTTTGCTTTTCTCTCGATTTCTGGGACTTGTTCTTCCTAAATTATCAAAACTAATTGGGAGTAGCTCAGGGATTGTTTTGACTGGTTCCTTAAGATCTGTGAAGTAATTTCTCTGGACTTTGCCAGCTTGAATTTATGTGCTCTTTAAACTTTTCGTCCCATACTCGGGCTGGATTCCTATCTATTTGTTGAAAGTAGTATTACAGATCATAATTTGTTACTTTTCTTGTGTCGGTAAAAAGAGCACAGGATGCTTCAGCTTATCTGTATCCTTTCTTTTTACCTCCCTTCTGCCTTTATTAACAGACCTACAGTTTAGTGTTTTTCTATCACTTCTGATGTGTTTACAGGATGTTTCCTCTTTGACCACTATGAGTTTTACAAACTGATACTTATTTTACATGCTAGCCTCCTTTTTCCATGCCTTCACAAGGTCTATATGCTTTCTTAAGTTTTGTTGTGGGCTCTTTGACAAACTTAGCATTGTTTTTCCAGCTTTTTAGGTTTCCAGTTCCTGAGGTAGCCATAATAGCCTCTTACGCTGGTTCTTGGCTTTCCTCTGTGGTGTGAACAGCACACTGTACCATTGCACATTTAATGTAGCTTTTTCTCCAGCATAACTGCCAGCTTTTTTGTATTCTACTTGACTTTCAGATTGTTCATAAGAGACATACAGTTACTAGTTCCCAGTCCCCAGGATGCACCCAGCCTATTTATTGTTCTTCTGGCCATTGTTGGCTTTTTCTTTCATATTCAGAGTACTTCCATCTTCCAGGTCATAGGTTACTCTAATTCATAGACTCGTAGAATCGTTTTGGTTGGAAAAGACCTATAAGATCACTGAGTCCAACCATTAACCTCACATTGCCAAGTCCACTTTTAAACCGTGTCCCTAAGCACCATATCTACATGTCTTTTAAACATGTCCAGGGATGGTGACTCCACCACTTCCCGGGACAGGCTTTTCCAGTGCTTGACAACCCTTTCAGTGAAAAAAGTTTTCCTAATAGCCAATATAAACCTCCCCAGGTGCAATTTGAGACCATTTCCTCTTGTTCTGTCTCTTGTTACATGAGAGAAGAGACTGAACCCCACCTCACTACAACCTCTAAATCATCACTGAGAAGATTCTGCTTCATGGGTGTGATTGTCTGCTTTTTATCTGTATGGCTTACTTCTGTTACAGTAAGCCTGTAACTGTAAGAAAATGGTCTCTGCACCATTTGTCACAGAGTTAAATAAAGAAATGGTTTCTTTTTCATAGTCACAGGCCTTGTTAGGTTAATTCATGCAGTCTGTGTTGTGGTCAAGAGTAGCTCATATGGTTGAAGGGAGAAAACAAAAAAATAAGGAGAGTACTGACAACTACTCATGTGCCATATTTCTCTCTTCTCTAGTTTACTGACCAGCATCACTTCTATCTGGCTCTAGACAATCAGATGATTGTGGAGATGCTCAAGACAGAGCTGGCGTACCTCACTTCTTGTTGGAGGATGACAGGGAGACCAACCCTGACATTTCCCATCACCCACACAATGCTTGGTAAACAATTTTCTCTGTTTCAAGCAGAGTACATTACTGCAGGGGAGTAGGATGGAAGTCAATTTGAGAGAAGATGGGTGGCATGACTGTTTCAGCATCTGAGTTCTGACATCAAAAGTACAGTTTAACTTTCTCAAGTGAATGCTGAATTTGGAAGATACGGTAATATTTAATTTTGGTCTTACTACCCCTTTATATCCTTCCATCTCCTTATCTCCGTACTATTTCTGTCCAAAGTAAATTGATAGAAATCCCTTTGAAACTTGTCTTGAGTGGGTAGGTTTTTAGGTTTTTTGTCTTCAGAAATCCCTTTAGAACTTGTCTTGGTGTTGCTTTGTGGGTTTTTTTTTTTTTTTTTTGCTTGTTTGTTTGGAGTTCTTTGGATAAGCTGGTATTGATAGCAGTTGTGAGTTCTGTTTTAAATTTGTATGATTTACTTCATAGAGAAGACCCAGTAACCCACTTTATTTGGATATGATAATTTAAGAATGTGTTGGTATGCTTCAACTTTTTAATTATGCTTTTTTAGTCGATGATGGTACTGATATTCATCCAGCAGTTCTTGCCACCATAAGAAAATTAGAAGATGGTTATTTTGGAGGTGCAAGGTAATGTCGGAACCCTCAAATTATTGTCTCCCTGTTATTATTTTAATTAAGTCCTGTCCAAGCCTCGGTTTTGAACTTGTGATAGTGCACAAACCTTGTACCAGAACTCTGCAGAGAGAGAAGTTTCATATTTTTTTATTATGTGGCAGTTGGATGGTAGCTGGATCTCAGATGCAGTAGAAAAGATCTATCCCCCAGCCATCTCTGACTGCCAATAATGGATAAAGAAAAATGAATGTCAGACCTTTGGAAGTACAAAAACGTCTTGGCTGGGCTTCTGTTTTTAAGAATTGTTAGAATTAAGAAGTTATTGGACACGTTTTAAACATAAGTTACACGTAGTACTCGTGAGCTGATGTGTTCCGTTCATCTCCATATAAAAGCAGTTTAATATGGTGCCACAGCACCTCCCTGTTCTCTTTCTACTTGCTCTCTCTCAGTCAGTATTTTTCTCTGATAAATCAGATGTGCTTCCTGCTTTTTAGCAGCACTGCAGTTCTATGAAAAGACACTGCTGTTCATGGGAACTTGTCAGCCCCAGTTGATCTTGCATTATCCTTGTAGTTTAGGTCTTTGTTCAGTTTCTCTTCATATAAACATGTAGCACCCTGTATAACTAGGCTTTGAGTTGGGCCTGATGATGTTACCATAATGCAGCTCAAGTTCAAGTAGTAGCTTGATAAGTAGGTACCCAGCTGGACCTGCAACTGTTGATTTGCATTTTTTTTCTTGGTATCAGTGTCTGCTGCTTGGTCATTGCCAAAGGTGGGTTTAACAGTAGGTCTCCTGCATTTTGGAGGAGCTGTTGAAAGCTGGGTGAGCGTTACTCGGTATCAGAATATGGCGGGTGTGAGCGCTGTTTGACGTGTGTGCCTGTTTGCAGGGTGAAGATAGGCAAGCTGTCAGAATTCCTCACAACCTCTTTTCATACCCATCTGAGCTTCCTGGATCCAGACTGTGATGTGAAACTGTTCGATGACCCTAATGAAGGCTGCAGTAGTCCTGACAGTGAAGAAGGAAACTATCCATCAGATTTCTGTGAAAGAGGTAGTGTTTTTTCACTTCAGACTTTGTCAAGTTCTATCAGCAGAGCCTGGGTTTATCTACAATGCAGAGCCTGTTTTGTGTGCCGTTGATAGTCATTCATGTTCTTCATGCATCAGTTTGCGAATAGTATCTTCATAGCTTAATTTGAAGAAGGATTTTGTACATATTCTTCCTACATTCATACTATGGCATTGACCAGTAACTGCTGCAGTAAAGCTGAGTCTGATGAATGAGCAAATGGTGGTGTCTGTGGAAGAAGCTGGAGGGATGAAGAGTCTGTGAGGAGCTATAGACAACAGCTTGTGTGGAAGAGCTGGTAGAATATAGAATTGTAGAATCATTTAAGTTGGAAAAGACCTTTAAGATCATTGGGTCCAGCTGTGATCTGTGGACTACCGGCAAGATAAAAACCCTTTTGCTTTCTTTCAAAGGGAAAGCAGCTTCTTAATGTAACTGATTCCAAAGTGTCAAAACCAGATTATTTTTTTTCTTTCCAATTTGTTCAGCTTAGAAATTTTTTTTGATACTCTTTTGCTGTGCACTTCTATATAAGCAAGAATACAGTGGTGTGTTTGAAAGAAAGCACTTGTTAAATTATGATTTTTACCCTTAATAAACCTTTTCTTCTACATATGTCACACTAGAAAACCAGGATGAGCTGGATCAGTATATAAATTACGTCCTGCAGAGTACAGCATTGAAGTCCTACCTGCCTCCAACTTCAAAGGCTGTGAATCAACCACCTGTGTTCAGTGCAAACCATTCCACAGAAGAGATACTGTCAATAATGGCCAAGACAAAGGGCTTGGAGGTTCCAGGTATTTCTCCCCATTATTTATTTAATGCTAACACTGGAAAACCTGTTCTGGGTGCTACAAGGGGTAAGTTCAAGTATACCAAAATTCTGCTGATTAAAAGAGTTAGTGGCACCAGTATGTTATTGTTATGAAGAACTAAGAATGAGTCTGGAGCTGTTACTGTTGTTTTCCCACTGTATCTCATGTCTTGGTGTATTCATAGATAAACTGCTATAAAACATAACATTTATGTGGAGTTAATGTTATGGAATTGCTACAGCTTCTCAGTTGGATAGAATTTTACAACCCAAGTCAGTGAATTCGTTGTTTTTGTCTTTGTTTTCAAATACAAGACAAAAAGTACTTTCTTATTTTAATATATTTGTGGTGTAATTGTTTCAACGCCAGAAAAATACAAGTATGTGCATATACTTTCTAAATCTATGAGAATAAATGGAGTAAAGAAAGAGGACAGTATTGCTAATTATGCTGCATATAATAAACTGTTTGGAGAATTTATGCTAAAATTATGCTTTGACTAAATTTAGTCAATGGATTCCAACGTAATCCATTGTTCTGTATGTAGCATTCGGTGCCCTGGTTAAGGGAAGGCTTCTCTTAACTTCAGTGTTAATTAATTCAAGCTTTTTTTGTTAGTCTTTTCTGTCATCTTTCATATGCCACATCATCTGACCCTCTACTGAATTCAACATGGGAAGCTAACAGCACAGTAGCGTGCATTTATCATTATAATTTTAATTATATCTTACCAATTAGACCATTTTCTCCAGCTACTTTCTGTTAAAATATTTAGAACACTTAGCAGGGTCAGGTCATTGGGCTGTAGGATTTCTGAGGCATGGGCTGTCTGTCATGAGAGGCATCAGTTGAGCACGTAGCACCTGAGCCTTCGACACGCTGATGGCAGAAGCTCTTGGAGCAAGGCTGCAAGGAGACGTGTTTCAGAACATGAGCTCGTCTCCGAGTTCCATGCACAGCATCTCAGAAGCATTGCCTCTTTAGTTTGAATCTAGGAAGTATTTCTGTTGTTTGTACCTAGTATAGTTGCTTCATGTAGGTGTTTTTGTTTTCCATGTTAGTGAAACAGACTTTTTTGTTTGTTTGTTTTGTCTTCTGGTGGTTTTGCTTTCCAGCTGTGTCCATGTCTCTTCCGACTAAAGTTCTGAACACACACCGGAAGTCTCTGAATCTTGTTGATAATCCCCATTTCTTTGAGACAAAGGTAAGCTGTGGGAATTTTTATGCTGTTTGAGTTTTTAGGATGCAATACTTTGGCCTTTCCTGTGCTTCCAGGCCAAACCCTCTACGAGTTCTCATTTTCCTTCACAGAGAAGCAAGCTGTTCTGCCTGAGGCAACCAATAGCTACTTCCTTGTTCTGGAGTTCAGTTTTTGGCTGGGTGAAGGTTTTTTTCTTAAATAGACATTATCAAGTGGAAAGTTTTTAACTGTATCTGCAAAACAGAAAATAATGTAGTAGATGCTTATTTTTAAAGGCCAAAGATTAAGTCCTTCTCTTTAGTTCTAACTGAACACACAAAGAGAAGGGCAGGATGTTCACAGCCTTTAGAGATGTTCTCCAAGAAATGCTACTTATAGTAATATCTGGGCAGGAGGGGAGTGTGTGGAGGAGCAGGTGTTCTTAAGGCACCAGCCAAATCCCACTACAAGGCATGAAGATTGTGCTCAGCATGTGTTTTTTCTTGGTGTATGTGACCAGCTGCTGAGACTGGTTACAGAAGATTGTTTCCAGCCCTCTGAAGGATTCTTCTCTGCAGACTTAGAACACCATTTACAAAAACTATGAGCATATAAATTGCTGGATATCTTAATAAACAAAACTTCTCTTCATCCAAGAATTCGCCACAGAATTGCATCATCTGATTAGTTCACGTTAGTTTCATAAGCTTTGAAAATTTATGATGGCAACATCTGTATTCATAAAGCACCACATATGTACAGGTTAGAGATGAAACTAAAAAAGCTCTAAATTATTTTAACTAAAAAAAAGCTAGTGTCCTTCTGCTTTTCTCATTACAAATAATAGCAAATGACAGAAAAAGCATGCAAATAATTTGGTTTCCTTCCTTGGCAAAATATTTTTTTTGTCCAAAAAATGGCTCTCCTTGTTGATTGACCCAAAACTAGAGAGACAGTTCCATTTCGGGTGTTGTTTGCTGGGATTAGTCTCCTTTTTACATCTGCAGTAATCCGGCCAGAACTGTGTGATGTGTCTGTATTTCAGGTGCAGGGTTATGCTGCAGGTCTGTTGCACTGTTTAAGGGGAAGTTACAGTTTGAATTTGATGTGCTACTTTTTTCAAGATCATCTCTTTGATTTTTTTATTTTTCATCCATATTTTTTACCAGGACCGTGGAAATGTTTCGCACTTACCTAAAGATGCTCATGGTGACTTGGATTGCAGGAAACTTGTGGAGCAGCTGAAGGAATGTCCAACGCTCCACGATCAAGCAGATATCTTGTATATCTTGCATATACTGAAGTGAGTTATCCGAGTACACACTTCAGCATCTTTATGTTCAGTCACAACTAATTGATTATTCAGGGTCATGTTTTGAAGGGAGAAGTGAAAATATTTTGTGCTTTAGCAAGCATATTTTCAATTAGTTTGATTACATACTTGACCTGGATACAAAAGGAATGCTTGTGCAAATTTCAGAGTTGATTGGCACCCAGTTGCGCGTACGTACGGGCTCCAGCGCTCACAGGTGAGATACTCGGAATCCTTTCCATGGATGAGAACATGGCTCGCTATGTTCGTGGCACTGTTAAGTTCACAAAATTTACATGTGATTTTTATACTCAAGAAGGGAAGTGGAGGGAGACTTTACCTTGTTATTTTCTAACTAATAGCAAAATGCGTTTTTAAGAGGTAGTCGATATTTTTCCTCTAATTTCTGTGCATGTTTAAGTGCACCACTGGCTAAAACGCAGTGCTCTTCAAAACATCCGTGGAAACAGTCTAACCCCAGCAGCTGGAGTTAATAAACAGCTGCTGTTTAAATAGGTTTGCTGGGAACAAAATGCAAATACAAATCAACGAAAACATCTTCTGGAGTGCATTTACCAGGCGTTTTTTTTTTTTTTTTCCTGTGCAGGAGAATACTGCTGGAACCTGTCAGGAAGCTAGCTTTGGGTGCAAAGACAAGCATGTGTTAATTATAGACGTTCTTTCTTACTGCTACAAATATTGTAATTTTGTTTATTTTAGTCCTTCTCCTATGAGGACCTTTTCTTTGATCTTCTTGGTTTCCTAAACAAATGTTTAGCAGCATCTCTTAAAGAGCAAAGGAAATCCCCCCAAAATGATTTTGTTGTTTAACTACATGTAATACCCTTAATTTCCTGTCCTGGACTTGTTTTGCCATAGGAGTCTGTTGAGCGGGCAGATGGGCTTCTGGTGGACTCTGTCCCTCCAGCATGAGTCCTCTGAGGGAACTCTGAAAAATGGATGCAGTTTTCAGCAGTATGGAAGACATTGCTGAATTCTGCTCTGAAAAAGCACCACATAGAGCATTCCTTGATCAAACTGTCTGCGTGCATGCTCAATTTAAAGTTTGGTGAAAAATCCTTTGGGTGGTTGCTTTGAAGTCGCAGGCTCATGGCCAAGTGCTCAAGATATACAAGTTCCTGGTTTCAGAAGGGTTTGGTCCACAATACAACCTACCTCTAGTGAAGGCCCCTGTCACCAAAATGAATGATGCCATCAAAATCAGGCTGGTGGTTGTGGTATGTTTAAACAGGGCAGCAATTTTTAGCTGATGACCATTACCTTCTGTGTCTTTTCTGGCAGAGGCCCTGACTGGGACACAGAGCTGGACGGGCAGTATGGCGTCACTGTCCATAGCCTACTCAACGAGCTCTACAGAAAAGCAGGCCTCAATCAGGAATGGGGCTTAATCCGTTATATCTCTGGCATACTCAAAAAGAGAGTGGAAGTCCTGGCTGAGGTATGAAGTGTTGGTAATGCTGGCTCTGTTTCCTGCCTGGAAACAGAGATAAAGCTACCAGTGTTCTTGTGGGGCTTGTGCTGCCTTCTTCTGGTCTTACTTCATGATGTATGTGACGCCACATTTTTTCAGTAAACATTGGTTACTTTTCTGATCTAAAATCTTCTTCCAGCCTCTTTACCTTTCATCTGTGCTGTGAACTGTACTAATGTTGGCCATGGACTGTGTCACACTGTAAATGACTGTGAAGGCTTCATTTCATCTTTTGTTAATTGGAGAAGCTTAATTATGTGCTTTGAAAGCTGTAGTTGTCATTGGTAATTGTCTGTTGCTGTTGCGTTAGCATGAACACTTCAGGAGCACCAGTGTGTCCGTATTCTGGTGATGATGCAAGAACGTGTTCTGCTTATTTCCATCCCACTGGGCAGACACAGCGTGCTGCTCTCTGCGTGGATGTTCAGAAGCATTAAAAGTATTTGGGACTACTATGTAGCAACAAGAAAGAACCACTGTAAGGGCACAGATTTGATATTGAACATTACAAAAATGTTTCTTCTTAAGTACTCTGAAGTATATGTTTAATTTCCTTCTTCTCCCTGCATATTTCTGAAGAGCTCTTTCATTCCTGGCCGTTTTCAAAGCTTTGCCTGTCACACCTATGCTGCCCTAGTTTAGTAACAGTTGTATTGGCAGGGAGCAATCTGTAATAATTGCCCTGCATGATAGTTCATTAAGCACATAACCTTCTCCATTCTTGGCACATGACAGACAAGCAGTACAGACGTGATCACATGAAGCTGTTAGATTGAGGTGAGACTTAAAGAATTGGGGAGGAAGAGAGTAGAGGTGATCTGCGCTGTTCCACCTTAGGGGAGGGAAAATAGGCTCTTCGAAGTCAGAGGAACGTTGCTCTGTGAGGTCTTTGATTCAGGATGCTAATCCAGGCAAAGTGAACGCTTGCATTTAAAAGAGGTTGATACAAAAGAGTAAGTACTGTGGTACTGGGGGAAGCACCGATTTCAGAATGTATCAGAGTGCCTAATGCAGCAGTGTGATGCAATATGTCCAGTGTTTGTTTATATTAGTATGCAAGATTTTAAAATATTTTTTTTTTTGGCTAATACTGCCAAGTTTTTCATTGATGAAGAATGTTCTTTGTCTTTAGTAAAGAACAAACATTTATCTTATGATGAAGGATGAAATCCTTTATTGATCTGCCAGTCCTGCTGGAGTCCCTAATCATTATGCTGCTGATGTCACCAAGTGGGGAACCAGGCTTCCAGCCAAGACAGGCTCTCGTAGTCCTGTTGACCTCAGGGGTTCTTTGGCAACTGGTTAACTGCCGTTCTGCTGGATCTGCATGGCTAGTAATTAATAGAAATGCACTTAAAAATTGCTAAAGAAATTCTTTGTTTTGGGGAGTTAAAAGCTGTGTCACTTCCACATGACTCAGAGAAAGGTCTCTCGCTTTCTGTCCCATTATGACAGGCATGCACAGACCTTCTGTCTCACCACAAGCAGCTAACAGTGGGCCTGCCACCAGAACCCCGCGAGAAAATCATTACTGCGTAAGTTGGAGCTCTGCCTCAGTTACAGAAGCAGCCTGCCCAGCACTGGTCTGCTGCTGTTAATCTTGTTTTAAAACTTATTCCTCCCTTCAGAAGGAATCATAGCCACCCAGGCAGCATTGTAGGTGCCTTTGTGGTGCAACAGTGTTTTGGGGTGACTTGGTTCCAGCTTGCTCAGGAGGTTAATGAGAGGTGTCTGAGTCGCTGCTAACTGTATTTTGCTTTCTTGCAGCCCACTGCCACCTGAGCAGCTCACAGATCTTATTTATGAAGCCAGTGGCCAAGACATCAGTATTGCAGTCCTGACACAGGTATGCAGCGTGTGTAAAAAGTCCCCTTGGCTTTTCCAGTCACAGAGCAACTGGGCAGAGCTGAAAGGGCCCACTCCCAATAGGCGCCCTTATGCGTTTGTCCCGACAGGAAATCATTATGTACTTGGCGATGTACGTCCGGTCCCAGCCCAGTCTGTTCGTGGAGATGCTCCGGCTCCGCATCGGTCTGATAATCCAGGTGATGGCCACGGAGCTGGCTCGGAGTCTGAAATGCTCAGGTAAGAGCAATTTTATTCATAAGGGGACTTAGGGCATCGTTTCTACTTCACCTCAGTGGTGGTGTTTTCATTGTATGTGTTAAATCCTTTCATTAGCTTCATTCAGCATGTGCAGTTACAAACTTGGGATTTGGATTTAATGAAAGATTCCTGTTCCCTGACCCCTGGTTATTCAAACTGAGGTGGATACTAAATACTTAAGTCCCTTGACTTTCAGTAAATGTTTTACGTCCAGGGCATCAAACTGCACGTGTGCATGTATTTAGGGTCCCAGTGCCACTAATGCCAATGGGAGCTGGGACTCAAGGTATCTTCTGAATATCTGAGCCTTCGTTCACAGTTCTGGTAGTTTTCATTGAAAGTAACTTCTAATCTTCTTCTTTTTCTGTGTAAGCTTATTTGAAAAATATTTGCTGGTTAGATTCCAGATAATGATATGTTATTTTGACAGGAGGTCAGTAAAAAAAAAAAAAATCTTCTTACAGGCACTCAAGACATTGCTTATGCTCTACAAAAACAAGTGATGTAAGGCAAAAATATTTTAAAATTCATTTTGGAAAAACGAAAGTAGAGAGAAACCATGACTGAAGAGAGATCTGAGAAATCACTGAATAATTTTCCCCATTGAAAGGGGTCAGAAGTATAAGAAGGAGTAGTCATGAGAAATAATAGGGTTAATGTGACAAATACTTAAATGCTGATGCTTGGGAGTATGATCTGGGTCATATTTTTGTGGCTCAGATAATGTTACCATTTCTAATGCCCTAGCAGACCCTAAAAGGTGTGGAACTGTGGAAGCCCATTTTCTTTTCTAGCTGGCTTTGTCCCTCATGAGTGACAGGAGAGTCCCTGGTATTTGCTTAGATGAAGTTCACTTTGGATGCTGCTGCTTTCAACTTGAGTAGGTAGCTGCCCAGCAGAAGGTAGCAGGTTTCTCCCTAAGGAGAAGTTGACAAAAGGAGTGAAGTGGCTTTCTGGGGTAATTCTGTTTCTGTGTGAAGAATGTACAGAAAGCCGTGTTTCCCCAAAACCTGTACCTGAATAGCAGAAGCTGCTTTCCTCACAGTGCAAAGGCTATCTTTACTGGGTCCCTCTTCCTACTCCTTAGCCTGAAATGCCAGCTGCTTTGTACACAGCCCTCAGCTTCATTGCTGCCTCTTCCATGTTCTCCTGGGGGAGGCTGGTCTCTACACATGTGCTTCTGTGTACGTATGTGCTTTTTCTTTCTCTCTCTCAGTTACAGGCCTGATCCTTTAGTCAAATCAAACACAGGCCTTCCACACATATGCATTTCTTTAGTCAAGAACTACACATCACCTGCTTTTGAGAGATGGCTGTAATACCTTTCTAAGTGACCTTGCTCTGCAAAGAAGCAGCTGCTTTCTCATCATCGGCTTCACTGAGATTTTGCACAAGCTGCAGCATAATATTCACTGATGCAAATAGAGTTATTTCCATGCAGTGTTTGTTGTTCAGGCCTCTAATGTATTTTCTTTGAAATGTGACTCCTAAGTATTAATTCTTTTAAAGAAAACACTAGCAACAGAGGTAAATGTGACTGAACTTCATTCATCAACAGTTTACTTAGGAAAACAAGCTATCAAGCCACCTATAGTGATGTGGGGTTTTGTTTTTTTTTCTTAACCAGGTGAAGAAGCTTCAGAGAGTTTGATGAATCTAAGCCCCTTTGATATGAAAAATCTCCTACACCATATTCTCAGTGGAAAAGAGTTTGGAGTGGAAAGAAGCTGTAAGTTGTGCACTTGGGTACTTGTATATGTTAAGCGATAGATAGATAGTGTTCTAAGTAGGAGTCTACTCTCTCAGCAGCTAAAATAGAGGTATAGGTAATGTGTTGATCATGGGTGGCCAGTACCCTGTGTATGTCTACCATGGAATAAACAAAACCAATATAATGGAAACTGTCCTGAACCGAAATAAGTTTGTATCAAGTTTTCAGTGATATGAAGGCCAACTTTTCAAATGAAGACATTTTATGTGACCAGAATGTGACTTCAGAAAGGTTATATCTAACATGCCTTCTCAACTGGCATATCAGCTATCTCCTGGGTTCATTCTTAGGTCCTCACAAACTCATTGCACCTCTTGGCAACTTTTAAAGCTACAATTACTCAGTGTCTTGGAATATCAGGCCCCAGTGTCTGATTATGGATCTAGGTCACATACTTGATGCAATCAGGTTTGAACTATTGATGTGGTTTGAGAGGATGCTGTCACCAAGACATTGCATGCTTCTGGAGGGATATGTGTTTATCTTCTAGGTAAAACGTCATCTGTTTTCCACCTCTAGAATTTTAAAACTCTCCATTTGCTTCCTTTAGTGCGACCTGTAGATTCCTCTTCCTCTAGCCCTGCAATTTCTATTCATGAAATGGGACATTCTGGAGCAACCAAAACAGAAAGAAGTGGTATTACTAAACTGAAGAGTGAGATGAAGCAGGTGAGAGTTTTCTGTCAATGCTCATTAGAAAATGCATCTGTGCTGGCACTGTGTTATGTTAGGTTTTATTCTTGGTAAATGACAGAAGCTTCCAAAGATCCTTTGATTTAGTGCCGATGACTAAGTAGAAGGCAGTAAGGGGATGTTTCCTCAAAAAATGTGTTTCCTTTTTTTGTTCTTTCACGTGCTGAATACAGAAGAACTTGATGCCGTGAGTGCAAAAGTTTCTTCAACTTTAAAACAGCTCTTTTGTCATCTTTAGCTAAGGAAAAGTCAGATCTGCAAAATGAAGCTTTCATGCAGTGTTCACTCTTGTACTCTGCTTAAATTGCTAAAGTGGTCCATATGCCTTGTGGAAAACAACGGGAAAAGAAATTGTGGTTTGTTTTCTTTGGTCTTTTGTTTCTTCACAAATGGAGGGGGATTACTGCTAGTATATATAGATATAGTTCATTTCAATACTTTAGATTAGACAGCAACTGAGTATATGGAGAGAGATCACAGAAAATACAACCAAAATATTCTGAGTGAATGTTTCTGATGTTTTTGGCTTTTTTTTTTTTTTCAGACTGGAGAAGGGTCCAAGGGAGATCTTACTGCAGCCTTTCAATATATAAAGGGGGCTTTTAAGAAAGATAGAGACTTTACACAAAGACCTTTAGCGATAGGACAAAGGGCAACAGTTTTAAACTGGAAAGGATTAGATTAGACATAAGGAACAAATTTTTTGCAATGAAAGTCGTGAGACACTGGAACAGGTTACTCAGAGAAGTGGATGCCCTATCATTGGAAGTGTTCAAGGTCAGGTTGGACAAGACGGTTTCATTTAATCTGTGGCCATTTCTGCAATTCCTAAGGAAGTATTTGGTGATTTCCTTTGTGTGAAACAGATCTGCTCAGTAAGCCTGCAGAAAGGAGTGGCATTTCTGCATGGTCTTGACATGGAGCATTTGATGCTGACAGTAGAGACCAGTTTGGGTTCTGCCCAGGAGGGGCTCAGGCAGGGAGGCAAAGGCCCCTGTGAAGGCATCTGTCTCACGAGGCCCGGTTGCCGTGTTTGAGCCATGCTGCTGCCTGGGCATCGCGGTGGCCGAGCCTCCTGGTATGGCTCTGGCTGTGAAGGTGCCGCCCCGCACCTTCCACCCGCCCTGAAGTGACTGTGAGGGTTCAGCCTGAGCAGGGCTGGAAGTCGTAGGGTGGGTATCTCACTTCAGGGCCTTTCAGGAAGGAAGAGGGACTAGGCACTAGGTGGCAGCATTATTTTGTTTTAAATACCGAGGTGGGCCTGAGCAGAAACCGTTGGACTTTTATAGAGGTTGGAAATCTGTTTCCTGTGTTGCTTTTGCAACACATGGAAACGTGGTATTTTGCATAGAGAAGGAGCTGGCTGGATTTATTTTTGTCCCCACCACCACCTTCCCATTCATCCTGCTTCCTGACACATCTCACTGCATTCTCTGAATAATTCACTAGATACTAACTCAGTGTCATTTTGGCATGGGAAGGGAATCAACTTTGTTATGAGGAACATTTCAAGTACTTGTATTAACATCTCTTTGCACCATAGCTCAGGTGGTGAGCGGCTGAAGCTCTCACCTTTGTCTGGATCAGAACCGTTAACACTTAATTAGGAGGAATGGCTTGGGCTGGACAGTTACAGAAAAGCCTGAGGTGCTGGATACACATTTCAGCAAAAATTTTGCTTTGTGGCTGTTTAATGCTGCCCACCCAGTGGCAGACTTTCTGCAGCAAGATGACCTTCACATGCACAGAGAAGCTGCTGACATTGCAACAAACAGGGAGTGAAAGTGGAGAGCTTGGGGATTTCTCCCAGCCCTGGGTCACAGGGAAGCTTTTGCGTGCATCTCAAGCTGCGGTGGTTTGTGTTGGCCATGCTTGGAGCTCGCTGGATGGTGTGGGCAGCTTGTGGCTGCCAAATGGTCCCCTGGCACAGTGAGGCCTGCCTCATGGTCACCCTGGAAATCCACAGCAGCTGCCCCCAGCTTAGCTGAAGTGCAGCACTGCACGAGGGCAGAGGCTGTTGCAGTTCTCCCTGAGCACCTGAGCTTATTCCACATTTCTTGTCTTTGTGCAGACGGGTGACTTAACCTTCTTTGTGTCCTGTTCTGTCATGGCTGTCTGTCTGATGTGTTGGTGTCTGTTTTTGTTTTGTAGTTCTTTAATGAAGGCCACTCCATGTCCAGCAGCATGCTCGCTTCCATGGTAAAACACCAGCTGCAGCTCTGCACCTGCTCTTCACCCTGCACATGTGTGTGTACAAGGGTCTCAGCCCTAGACAGTTCCAGTGACTTCTTCTGTGGAAAACCTTGTTTTCAAACCCTACCTCTTTGTCTTGTTCATCTTCATGGGGAACCAATTCTCACTAGTAATCTTCTGATAGAAATTGAGTCTTGCGTTTAGATCCACTTAGTCCTTCTGAAGCTTAAGCAGCTGTACCAGATAAAGCACTAGAGTAGATTTAGCTACTTGGTGGTGGATTATGTTACAGGTGTCATCAGTATTTAAAAGTAGCATAGAGTTGATAAACACTGGCAGTCCTTGGACAGTAATGAACCCAGAATAGCTTCAGGTTGCTGAGACAAGGGGGTGTATGGGCATGGATATCTCCTCAGGCCGTCATCATCTTTCATGGGGAACTGTAGCTCCTCTTAAGCTCTTGTTGTTAGGAAGGAAGATAATTACTTAAACATTTTACCAACAGAAACCTCAACAATTTAAACTAGGTCTGAGGCTCCAAATCTGTCATGAAGGGATGGAAAGTTTGCAGCTACGTCTGCATTTTGAACTGGCAGTGTGATTCATGGTTCTCTGCATCTGCAGGTTTGCTGTTGATGGCACTCCTCCCAAGTGTCCTAAATACACAACTGCAGAGCACCACTAGCCCTGTGGCCTGGCCTGGCAACTGCCAAGTTGCTGTGGCCTCTCTGCACTGGTATATGGGAAAAGAAAGGCAGGCTTCAGCTGCATGCTGCATTCAAGTGCATGGAATTGTTCAGTTAGACCTTTGCTTCCCTGAACCACCTGTGTAGCCAGTTTCATTCCTGTATGAAGATGGATTTCTCTACTTTAGCACTGCCCCTCCTGCTGACTCCCTGCATCCCCTAGCTCTGCTCAAAAGTGGGGAGGAAGTTCTGTCTGTCTTGGACTGCAGTGGAAAGGAACAGCGAGCATCAGAACCATCAAGGCAACACCACCTGTGCCTCACTGACACCAGTGGGAGTGAAAATGGACTGCGTTTTGTTTGCTGGCATTTCTGCAGAGCCTGACTGTGTAGCTTACTCTTTGCAAGCATTGGTTTTGGTCTTATTTTCCTCCTTCCCCAGTATTTGCTCAGGTGGTTTCTTACTCGAAGATGATGGGATTTCGGAAGAGACTGTCAGTGTAGTTCTTTCTGGGCTGAAAGTAATATGTGTGCAAAAAGGGACAAAGGAAATGGAAGAGCACACAGTCTCTGGGAGTGCTGAGTAAGCAGATTGCACCCGTGGCAATGGGAATAAGAATTTGGTGGTGGTGCCACAACTTTGAAGATGATTTGCTGCCTTGTTTAGGCTCCAAGTCTGTTAGAGTAAAATAATACATCAGTAGTCATAGTAAAGGGAAAAAGACTGATAGCTACTGACGTAGGTAGATACCTGCAGACGTGATGATTGCATGATCCTATCAAGTCGGTTTTTAATGTATTTGGTTTAACAGAGCTTTTTATGTGGAGCTCTTGCTGCACTCATGGACCCTTTAGTTTTCTTACGACACTGCGCTCGAAGCCCAAGTCAGACACAGCAGCAAATCCCACCGTCTTGCACACCAGGGATGCTGCCCTGGCAGCCAGCTCATGCTTGTTCAAATAGCCATGCCTCGTGTTGAACCAAGCAGTGAAGCTTGAAGTTTGGTTATGCTTTCTTGGACTGCTTGTCTCTTTTGTTGAGAAGTAATTGAAGTACTGGAAGCTTGGTGAAGGGGAGAGAAAGGGATCGGTCTTGCTGTGTTATCTCGTTTGACATCATGGCCTGTATTTTTTCCCTGATTCTGAGGTAGCATTGCAACAGAATGATGTATTCACCAGGAGTAGCACTTGGGATGGTAGAAAGCAACTAACCAGGGCTTTAATGTTCCTTTCAGAGAGGCAGTACTCCATCATCTCCCACTAATACTTCTCCTACGGGCTCCAGGGGAGACACAAGCTGGGGTGACCGAAAAGGGCAGTGGCTGCGCAGAAGGAGGCTTGATGGTGCTATTAACAGAGTTCCTGTTGGCTTTTATGAGAAAGTCTGGAAAATCCTTCAGAAGGTAAGTTGACAGCTGTGGAGGGCAGGAAGCAAGGAAGCTGTACAGTATGTTAGGGAGGTGGTGGCCCCGAGGTGGCATGTTGCTGGGATCTGAAAATGTTTTTCAGCTGGAAGACTGGTAGAAACTAGAGTTGTTAGTAGGAGTGTCTCTTTTGAACATGAAAGTTTGTGGTTTTTTGAAAGTGTATTTTTCTCTGAAACAAGCAGTGCTGAATGTTGGCTGAACGATTCTGTTCCCACTCATGGCCTAACACAAGTTGTGGCTGGTGCTGTTGAGGGCCACCACAGTGCAGTGCAGGTCATGCACTCGCTTCAGGAGGGCTGTGAGGAGTAAAGTAAGAAACTTCATTGACTCTCCCAAAATGCCTTGAGTTCTCTTACTAGCTCTTCTGAGCTGTATGGTGTTCTTAATTTTTGTTTGGTTTTAAATGTATAGTAAGTCCTTGCCAGCACCTTGGAGATCAGGGGTATGGAAATGTGTTGCAGCCAGTTCTCCAGGAAAGAGGAAGCGGGTATTAAGAATTTTTAACTCATTTCAAAGTGATTATGCACCTGTTCCTGTGCTTTGCTGGGTGAAAGCCAGCATTTGGCACCTTGCAGCACTGAGCAGTTCATGCCTATGCAGTTGGGAAAAATGTGCATCACCAGCTGAGGTTGATTTTGGTTGTCCTTCTAAAAATCACTTACGCTTGAAGCTGCTAGTGTTTGGCAGCTGTGACAGGCCGTGTATGACCTCGTGGCTATTTACTAATGGGACCTTTCAGCAGAGTGAGCATTGCTTCTGTCCTGACCTAATGTAATAGCTGGGAGTATTGGAATAGTTTTCTGGCCATTAAAATCAATTGTGCTTATTTAAGTTGTCTTCAGCATTTCATTCTTAAACTCTCTTTGGACTATTCATGAAAGATCTCTTTGCCTTGGTGCAGTTTTGCACCTTGGGTACCCAGATGTGTCATTCCTAGCCTGCCTTCTCACCATTTAGGTTTTGTGACTTTTTTTCTTGTGTAACATTTGGTATTTCTAACACCACCTCTTCCCTGCTGTTGGTGGCCCTTGTCCAAGCACCACAACATGTTGATGTCCTTGAGTTGTGGTGCCCTGGATCTGAAACACTTAACTAAATGTTTAAAAGTTTCTCACTTTCATGGTCTATTGTTGTGCTTTTGCATTACCTTTTATTTCTACATCCTTTCACAGAGAATGCTCTGATTGATTTGTTTTGCTCCTTTGTGTGCCTCTTGCTGTAGTGGCTCTCTGAGTACTCTCCTTCTCTTCAGTAGCTGGACTGGAGCACAGCACACTCTCTACATGTCATGTCAGGCCATTCCTAAAGTTTGCCAGGTTACATAATAACTTCTTCAGTAAAGATAAAATACTATTTTTAATAGGTTTTGGTGTGTTGAGTTTTTTGTTTGTTTTTCTTTTGTTTTAACTGAAAGTTGTTTCATATTGGCTTAGAACAGAGAACCTTCAGACTGACTTGCAAGAACTGTAATTCCAGTTCATTGTCAAAATGTTGTTTCAGTGCCATGGTCTGTCCATCGATGGGTATGTCCTTCCTTCTTCCACCACCAGAGAGGTACAGTAAAACACCAACAATTTCCTAGCCCCATGGCTGAATGTTTGGCTTGATAGTGCAAGATGCAGCGGGGCTGCTGTTGCAGATCTTTGGCTTTAAGAAGGTTAGAAGATCTGGACCTTCCCCCAGCACCTCTGCCCGCTTCCCTGAGGCAGTGCAGATGGGTTCCTGCAGGGCGGGTCTGGGGGTGGGTTTGTGGCAGAGGCTGACCCTGTGCACCCAGTGGCTGATGGCAGTGCTTCGGGCAGGGGGAGGAGGAAGCACACCCTTGTTGGAATGAAGCAGGCACGTTGCTTGCTACCTGGATTTTGGCATAGCAGTCTCAAAAGTAAATGCGAATTAAGGATGATTGCTTCTAGCCAAAGCTTTGACTCCTTAAATCCATAACCTTTCCTCTGCACCTTTTTTTCCTTAGTTCGATTGCCACTCTTTGGGCACTCTGGCAAGTTTTGAATTCACATCTATAAAACAAACTCTTTGAGAACAATAATCCATCAGTGCAAGATTGGTGCTTGTGGGCCTGAGACTGTTTTCCTGTCTGGTTCCCTCAGATTTGTTTCTGGCTTCCTTCTCTTCTGAAGGATGGTGGTAACAGCTGAAGAGAGGAGATGGAATTTTCTGTCAAATGGAAACCTTCTTTTTTCTTCAGAATGTAGAGCTTTATTTATTCCTATTGTGTAGATAAATTGGCTTGTATTTTTAGTCTGTCAGATGCAGACAGTATCTAATTTTGCTGTTTAAAGGAAGCAAACGAAATAAGTGCAAGCCTCCTAAGGCGGCAGCAGCCTTTCACATAACACCGACAGAGCTGTGCCAGTGCACATTAGGCTGCCCCACAAACCATTTTCTCTGTGTGGAAAAGCGTTCACGCTAAGCAGGTTGTTATTTTTAAAACTCAACAATCATTTTGGCTTTGCAACCAACCTGTGATTCCAGAAATACACTTAGAAGGCAGAGCACGTGAGACCACAGCATGAGGAGCAAGGAGTTAACTCACCAGCTAAGCCTCAGCAGTCCTGTCTGTAACTAAAATATGTGTGTGTGATGGGTTGCAGGGCTGAGCAGTGTTCTGGAAGTTGCAAAACTGTTTGGAGGATCAGGGCCTAGCAACACAAAAAATTTCTTTAAGCGCTAAGGCCGCACAAACATCTTGTTCGCTTCAGCCAGCCTGCCCCCGTGTGCAGAGAGGAGCCTATGGGGACATGTTTGCAGGATGTGGGAACTAGTCTTCTGGATTTGTCCGTTTTCCTTTCTGTTTCCCCTCAAACCTGACAGATGACCCCATGCGAAATCAAGTTTGCTGTACACGTGGAGTCAGTGCTGAACCATGTACCCCAGCCTGAGTACAGGCAGCTCTTGGTGGAAGCTATTCTGGTTCTCACGTTCCTCTCTGACATCGAGGTGAACACCATCGGGGGCATCATCCACGTGGATCGAATCGTGCACATGGCCAATGACCTGTTTCTGCAGGAGCTGGTGCGTTCAACGGGCAGTGGTGGGAAGACTCTTCATGTGAAAATTGTCCCCTCCTGCTTTTTTAATGTGCTTGATGGGCTTGAACTTATTCTTAGCATTTCCCTACCAAGACAGACCAAATCACTGAAGTATCTTCAGGAAATATATTTAGAAAACTAATTTAAGAATTGTGGGAGATGTAAAGGGAATAAAATTGTAATGGCTAACAAGCTGTGAAGTGAGTGGGTAGGTTGAAGTGTTCCTTTACCAAGCCGTTAGAATTACCAATATTTAAGTAATCCCGCCCACCGAAGGACAAAAATCTGTGAAGCTGCATGTTCCTCATTTACTGACACTGATCCAGCTAAGCCGTGTGGGTCCCATAATAATCCTGATTAAGGTTTTTCACGAGGGAAAGGAGAACTGCTTTCAGTATTCAGCACGAGTGCAAAATCATAACGTGGTGGGTTTTTCCCAGTAAATAAGCCCACACCCCTAACTTTCCCTACCTCTTTGCTTTTGTCTTTTCAGAAATCGTTTGGAGCTACTGGTAGGATCTTGGAGAAAGACGTAGCCACAGGAATCTGCCACTTTTTTTATGACAGCGCTCCGAGCGGGGCCTATGGCACCATGACGTACCTGACAAAAGCCATAATTATTTATCTGCACGACTTCCTGCCCAGCACGGGCTGCGCGATGCAATGAGCGGGCCCTCGGCTGGGCGGGCCGGGGGGCTCAGGAGCCCTTTCTCCCCATTTCCCTCTCGTGAACCTCCTGTTTGGCTGCTGCGTGGATGTGCTGTGCAGGACCTCAGCGCGTGGCGCTGGACCTCACGCTACGTGCATGCCTGCCTGTGGGGGACGGGTAGGTGGAATTTGGCCTGGTTTTGAGAGAGAGTGTGAGAAATAACAAATAATGAGGCTTCTTCTGCACAGAGTGCATAAATGTAATTCATATTAAATGAGCAAGAGTTGTACAGTTCTGCCAAGGGGAAAAGAGATTACTCTGTGGAGATCAAAAAGCATAATAAAACGAGGGAGCTGTATCTCAGGCAGAAAGTCTCCCAAATAAGGGAAGTGATGGAATTCATTAATTTTTCTCCTGCTGCGTGTAAATGTACAGCATTGTGAATCACTAATGCACAGTGTGAAATATCCAGGGGATTGTAAATTGGAAGAATAGGAATAACTTGGAAAAAAACAACCAACCTGGTTGGTTTATGTTCCTAATACACACTCATTCAGATTCTCTTCTCACTGACACCAGGTCTTGGTGGAGGGCTAATGCCAGTGAAGACAAATGTCTGAGAGTATTGGCTGATTTGAGAGGACAGCCTCTCTCAGGAAGCCGCATCTGTTTTTAATCAGAACAAAACAGCTTCCTTCCTGGCATCCCCAAGGTTTTGGGGGCAAAATCTCAAGACTCCAGCTTCTCCAAGGCAACAGACAGTTTTGTGCCTGTAATCCTTTCCTCTGAGTGGAACAAGATAAACCTCTTCCACTCGAGCACCCTTTCCAAGTCTCCCAATCCTTTCCCTTGCAAATAACCCCAGAGTTAAGAATGGCATAATTGCCACCCTTCCGGCCCAGCATGAGTTTATGGAAGGCTTTGATGTTTTGGTTTTTTTCCCTTTTTTTTTTTTTTTTTTTTTTCTTTTTTAATTTGAAGTTGCATTTGTCACATGCACTTAGAGATGGGCTGCTTGGAGGTCTCCCTTCAGACAGCTCCCAGGTTACTGCCTTTGCCTGGAATCTGCCCACTGGAAACCAGTCTCTGTGACTGCTCCAAACTGCTGCAAGGAGAATGGGTGTGTCCTGCAGGGAACGGGCTCCAAAGTGAAGCCCTGTCTCACTTGCCAGTGAGCAGCACACATGGCCCTGGGGACACTGAGCTCCTGACGGCCGTGCCATCCCACCTGCTGTCCCTCTGCAGCATCGCTGCTGCTGCAGCAACATCTGGATGCTGGCTCAAGAGAGCAAAGGTGTGGGAGGTATTAGGAAGCATTTTCATGGTTTTTTTTTTTTTTCAGAGACCAGGAGAGTTGGTCAGCCTAAGGGGCGCCTAGGAGCCCTTGGACTTGATGCTCTGAGAGAGGCACGTGCTTGTATTAACCACCATGACAGCTGGGCCTGTGGAGGGGCTCCTGCACACGTACGGCTCGGGTACAGTTAGTGCTTGGATGTGGAAGTCATTTTGTAGGCATCATGCCTGTTGTGTTTTGCCTTCATTACAGTTTTTTCATATGTATTGTGAAAGATCACTTAGCTGTTTTTCCAGCAGATGAAAGTAAAATCTTTTGTCAAGTTTAAGCAGACAGGTCTGACAGTGCGGAGTGGGAGCACCGCACAGCCTGTGATGGTTTCTTGTACTACATGGAACTGTACCAAGTCACTAGTAGCAGTTAGTTCTGCTTTTCTTGTTGCATCCTAGGTAGTGAGAGATGCAAGATGACTTTCCCTCAGACTATTTACTGTTTTTACCTGCGGTATGATCATGTTTTCAGAAACAAGGGGTGATGTAGTTGGCATTACATACAGCTGCACTGAAGGCTAAAGCCTACGGCCAAACATACCTGGATGCCCTTTAACACTGATTTTGTTAATGGGAGTATCGTTGGTATCTTTAGTTTGAAATTCATAGCATGACCTAGGGTTTGGTGTGTTTATGATCATCATGATCAATTAGCACATGGAGCGCAGGCACTCAAAGTATTTATGTGGTAATTGGAAGGGTTTGGGTAGCTGGTGGTGAGGGCTGGGATTTTGAAACACAAGGCCAATGGAAAGGAAACTCATGTCACTTCCAGGTCAGGCACAGGTGCAGCTCACTGCTGTGTTACTACTTGCACTGAGGGACTGTTCCAATTGGAGAGTCGTGTTTTAGTGCAAACCTAATTAAGGAAATAAGGTTTTCTAGAGACACCCCCATGCCCCCCTGGGTGTGCGTAAGCTGTGTTGCAAAGCGGAGCTAGTGGTGTTGGTGGCAGTGGCGAGGGTGTTCTCCCAGGTAAAATATGTGACAATTTTGCAGTTTGTGTGGGACTGAGGTAATTGGCAGAGACTCGACTTGGCTGTCAGGCTTCCCCTGGAGCCAGCAGAGGATGACATGGACAACTTCAAGTCCCTGGAAACTCATTTATGGAAGGCAGGCGAAGGTGAGCAGACACATCCTGTGCCTCAGAAACAAGGGCATTAACGAATTAAAATAGACCTACCTGAGACCTGGCCTTTCCAGTGTGATGGGCACTGTTGCCCTAAGCAGTCTGCAGCCATGGGGACAGAAGGACCTGCAGAGCTCTGGGGTCAGCCAGACATGCCTGCAGGCAGGAACGGGGCTGGTTGGGGCACGGGGCAGAGTAACGGGCTGTGTCTGGCTCGGAGCGCGTGCCACATGCTAGCCCCAGCCAGCTGCAGGCCATCTGCAGGCTCTGCTCGCAGCCTCAGGGCCGGCTCCTTCTCCCTGCTGCTCTGCGAAGGATGCGAGGCTGGCAGACTAGGCAGGTCAGAAGTGACGCCAGTCTCCCTCAGTGGCTCTCCCTACAAGGAAACGTGGAAATTTAATGGCTGGGGTACGACGTCTGCCTGGCTTCTCTCCTGCTAATTGTGACCTCCCTCCTGAGGGAGGAGCCCTTCTGGTCCCCGGGAGGTGGAGGTGAGCTGGGAAGGGGCTGTGGCTTTCTGCAGCGGGCAGTGAGAGAGCTGGGCCGCACCCGGCGGGCACAAGGCACTGTGGGGCTCTCGCCCTCTGGCAGCAGCCAGCGGGGGGGAGTGAATTGGGAGCCTGGGTCAGTCCGCGCCCCACACTGGGCGCGTTCTGGTGCTGTCTGGAGGTGGGAGTAGAGTTGCCCAGACAGTGGGGGAAGGTGAGATGTCACCACTGGTGGCTTCTGTACCTGTAGAGCAAGAGTTTGGGCGCTCAGCTGCAGGCTGATTCAGTTCTGCTCAAGGGGCCACTCACAGCTGTCATACTAAGGAGCTGCTGCATAGAATTAGTGGGATAAAAAAAGGTTGGAGGTGGGAGCTATGGAAGAAGAGCTTCAGCTCAGACAGTTTGGATTTAAGTACAAGTAGCCGGGCTCTCTCACACTCCCAGTCTCAGTCTCAAGTGGCTTTTATTCCTGCCATTGGATGTTTCACAGTTCCTCCCCCCGCCACTCCCCTTCTTCTGGCAGGGGTCAGGGGGCTGTTGTGTACCTCCAGCAGCTGACAGGACAGGCTTCGTGCTTTCTTGGCTCCATGACTCAGCTCCTCTAGTACTTCAGCACTGCATCCCAGAAAGGCTCTTCTACCCGCCTGTCAACTGAAGCGCCCTGTGCGACCTCACCTGTACATCCCCTCTCGTGAGGTGGTCCCTCCAGGCGAGCATCTCTCAACTTCCTGCTAGGATAGCTTCAGGAGCAGGTCATTAGAGGGGGCATCTAAGCGGGAGGCCATCAGCCATGTTTCTGAGCTCCTATCTCTGGTTGCACATGCTGGCTGTGTCCTCTTTTTCTGAAGGAGGACTCCAGAGTTGCACTGTCCCATTCCACCATGTTGCTTTGCACCCACAGCAAAGAATCCAGTGGTGGGAAGTGATATCCCACCACACACGGTGGTTGTCCATCACAGGTGGAGCCTTTTTTGCTACTCCACTGGAAGAAGCTGGGACTTACAGTGTATAGATCAGAATAAATGCATGCTAAAAATACACATTCAATATTACCAGTGCCATTAAAATTTTGCAGTAAATTTTGGTTCCAGTATTAAAGATATTTCTCTCCCCCTCCCCTAGGCAATAGAGTAAGTAAGTGTCTCTCTGCACTTACTCACTGCAGCCTGCAGCACGCACACTGGGTCCAGATCTCCCCGCTGTCCCTGCGGGAGCAGACGGGGTGATGCTCGCAGGGCTGGGACCATTGGCTGGCACACTGGGGGCAGGCCAGGGTCACTGGGCTCATCCATCTCGCTGTGTTCCAAAAACTCAGTATTTCTCAGTTTACCTTACATGGTAAAGAATTTGTACTTCATCATATGCAAGAATATTTAGGTTGGGTAATATCAAAATTGGTTTACTTTTGTGTTTTTCCTCATCTCTTTCTTTAAAGAAATCCTGTTTATCTTCAGGAGAAGCGTGTTGTACTCTGATAGGTGCAGCTGCCACAGTACAGGGAAGGAGACACCACACTTAACATGTGCCTGTGAAAGCCAGAGGTTTATTTTGTGATCACTGTACGTTGCAGTAACATGCTATGGGCTTAGCGCTTGTTAAGGTGACGAGTTATGACTGTTTCTTAGCTCCAGACCCCAACAAATGTAGGTAAGAGTAACCAGTGGCAAGAGGAAATTAAGTGCAACTGTAAATGCCTTTCAAATAACCTCCTTCAAGTTGTGTCTGTAAACTTCAAGGAGGATGGGTAGTGACCTGGAATGTTTTAATTACACCGCCTCATGCAAAGAGCAAGATTAAATGTAGAGCTAGCTGTTTCAACTAGATGGTTCTTCCCTGTTTTCCTCTCCTGGATTGGGTCAGAAGGCCTCTGTTGTGCCCATTCTATGGCCAGGGAGGGTCTGGTATGTTCCTTGTGGTCATCAACGCTGTCCCTCAGCTGCTGCTAAGGACTGCTGAAGGAAGCATACCCAGGTTTCTCTTCATGTGGTGCTGTAGATGCAACCTGGGCAGCACTCACAGATTACAGTGATGGGGTAGATGCCACCAAGGGGGAGAATAAACTGTAAGGTAGTGATGTGGCAGTGACTGAGTAATAACAGTATAGTAAGTAGTGGGGTTTCATCTCTTACCACTGACAGGTACTTGTCAGCCAGAAAGGACTAAGTAAAGATTTACACAGTGACTGCAGTGGTTACTGTTACAAGCAGCATGTTTATTGTTACCAGCCTGGAGACTGGTTTCCCAGACTGCTTGTGACAGGAAGGTGAGGAGTGTCCAAGACAGCCCCTGAGAAGTTCTGGCTTTTCATGAGTTTGCCTTTTTCTCTAGTCTGTGAACCACGTGAAAAGCCTCTAAAAACTCATTGAAGTCGATGTGGCCATCTTTGTTGTAGTCTATGCTGAGGACTAACTTGTCAATGGATTCATCACAGACATCAATGCCAAGGTGAGAAGTGAAGAGTTTCCAAGTCTGGCTGAACTCCTCAAGAGAAATCAGACCTAAAGGAGATGATAGACAGCAGGTCGCTTTTGCCAGCACTGGTTCCCCTTCCCACACACACTCCTCCACTGAAAGAAAGTTCCTTGCCCCCGTGGCTTGGGTGCATGCTGCGATTCCGTGGCTGAAGGACATTGTTACTGTGCAGAACTGCAGAACTGAGAAAGCAGTAAATACCGAGAGGGAAAAGGAGAATAAGCTCCCAGAAGAGTGAAGTCAGTGCTGGAGATGGGATATGTGAGAATTTTTTCCCCAAGTTAGGCTCTGTGCACTGTTCCTTATATGGTTACAGCCCGGCAGCTTAAATTATTCTTCCCTAAACTGGAAAAATTACATCACCTCTGGTTCCTCTATATTTAGTAGCCTTAAGGAGGAAACACAGGGGGGAAAGATAACTAGTACAGGCTTCCCAAAGCTGATGGAGTGAAGTTACGTAGACTTACCTGAGTGATCTTTGTCAATGATGTTGAAGATGATCTCCAGATCCTTTCTGTACCTGCACAGTGTTTCCACCAAAGCAGGCTGAGCCTGGTTTTGAAATCACATACAGAAAACCATTCAGATCCTGCTTTGAGTTAGTACATATTCTGTTGGTTGGACTATCTACTTTACCACTTTAACTTGTCAAATGTCTTAAAAAAAAAAAAAAATCCCTTATGCTTGAGATCCCTGGAATGATACATCATTCTTGCCCTAAGGAATAATCAGCTAAAACTTTCAGATGGCAGGGCCAGGGAGGAAGGGGCCCTTCACACCTCCTCCCTTCAGTAACTGCTTGTGGAAATGTGGGTGGCCTAGGGCTGGTGCTGTATGCTGTGCACTCCATACAAAGCTGTTGCTGCCATTTAAAACAGCCATGGTGATGGCCAAGTACCAAAGCCCTGTGCAGTCCCTCAGTAATAAATGGACTCTGTTAGAAGAGACCTTAGCTACCATTAAACATCTAAAAGTCCATCTACACATGACTCCCACAGGTGCTGGAATTGGCTCTGGAGCACATCTGAAAAGCTCATCTCCAAGAGTGAGAGTTGCATGCCCCAGGTAGGATATGTCACATCTCAGCTATGTTATCCAAATGCCCTTGAGAATCAATGGAAAGCAAGAAACAGTTCTAGCATGTGATTCATCCAACCTATTTTGAGCATCTACCTTAGCAGGGAATGATGATTCGTACCCTAGCAGTGCTCATTTCCCTCCAGTGACTATAAAAGGAAGCTCAGCAACTAGTTCAAGCTGTAGAGGTCTACCTGATTGGCCAAACCACTGTCTTGTGCCTCAAAGATGTACCAAAAGCTGTTCCTCCAAGATCTGCAAGGAGGCGTTATTCTCCTTACCTCTTTTATAGGTTGACCTATTTTCAAATCATAAAAACACGACATGAAGTCAACTTCTCCATCTGGGCTTGTCTGGGCTAACTGAGGCTGCAACATCCTCCAGGGCAGTTCCAGCTGTAGGACAGACTCCATTGCTGCAGCCCAGTCGTTGACAGGAATCCTGCCTGCCAGAAAGGGGCAGCTCGTGGTTACACGCGGTACGTGACGCAGCACACACCAGTCACCAGCACGCCTTCTGCTGATTTTAAGTCGCAAACCGTAAATGTTCTCTCCTAGCCCTGGGATAAAAACCCTCATAACAATAAGCAGTGGAGTTGGAGTAGAAGTTTCTGCAGATCCCTTCCAACCTCAACAACTTTGTAATGCTGTGATGATGGTCAGCATGTTTTAATACCTTTGAGAAAACCAGATTATGCCATGAAGAGTACTGTGGATTTGAGCTGAGCTGCACCTAGAGAGACAGGTGGCTGAAAATCCAACAAGACAGAAGTATGCTAAACAGTTGTTCTGTGGCCAAAGAAACAGTACTATCAAGTTATTGATTGCCCTTTTAGGGGCACAGATGACAATCCAGTGCAGTGAGAAGCCATCTTGAGGAAAAGCTGTACTTGTTCTAGAGATCATCAACTCCTTGCTCCTATCTAAAAGGTTCAGTGACTGACTTTTCTTCAGCTAATGGGTGAGTGTGTGTCTGCTAGTGGCATAGCCAGTCAACTTTCCTCAGATATCTCCCAGACTCAGAAGGAGAGCAGCTCCCCCTTACCTGAGATCTCAGTTCCCTCTCTGACATCTTCTCATTACAATCCTAAGTGAAGGTAATGACTTTTGAGCTTCTGGAACTGGATTTGCCTGCTCAAACTCTCTGCCCAACAACAAATGCTATTTCCTTATTTGCCCATCTGGTTCATTTGTTCTCATTTTCCTACTTCATCCCCTCAAGTTGTTTTCTGGGGCTAAGCACTTGCTAACACCTCTCCTCCTCTGTGGCCAGATAAGATCAACCAGCCTCTGTTGCCCTCCAGCCTTTCACTGGTAAGCAGGACCCCTTCTCTGTGGGGTTTTTGCCCTCTGCCCCCATCTCCCTCAGAAGCTGTTTTCTCCATGGTGGCAGCTAGACAGAGAGGTAGTGTTACCTGTGCCGCTGCGGTCGTACTGTGCAAAAGCACTGGTAAGTTCAGACCTGTGAGCATAAATCATCTCTCGTAAGGATTTTAAGGCAGATGATTCAATTGTACCCAGCCTAGGAGGAAAAAAAATGCAGAGCAGATCATTAAAAGATTTAAATCCTCTAGCATTTTGTGCTTTTCATTATCCAATTCTTATAGCCTTTAACATGTAGTATGTTTAGGGTCATCCTAAATGACAACACTGGGGACAAAAAAAACCCAAACCAACAAACCAAGCCAAGCCCCATAGGAATAATCTAAATTTATGAGATAATGGAGTTTACGCCGGTAATTCTAAGCTGCTTTGCTTTAGTAAATCTGATCACAGTGCAAGCCACAGCAAAGCTGTCATAATAAACTTTTGGACTGGATTCATAACAGGATCTGTCCAGATTAAGGCTGCAGCCTTAAAGCAGACCTGACAGACAGGCACGGGCTCTTTACGCAAAAAAAACTGACAATTGTCTGTTCTAACCTCTTAACACATCTAATCACATTTGGGAGCGTCTCAGGAAACCAGGTTTGAGCACTTGGAATGTGTTTTGTCTACTGTATTTATTTTTAAATAGTAAAGCAGACAATCAAGGGAAAGGAGATACCTATTTAGTTATTTGGCCAAGCCACAGCCCAGTGGCAGGCACGCGCACCCCGCGCAGGCTGGGCAGCTTTACCTCTCCCGCAGGTTCTGCCTGCGCGTGCGCTGGCTCACTTGGTACTGCACAAACCGCGGGACCAGCCCGGGGTTCAGTTTGATGTACGCCCCCCGGTTGCTCCCCTCTGCGTAGTAGTTTGAGGCAGAAAATATAGTGATGACCTGACGGCAGGAAACAAAGCAACCAGACTGGTGAGAACAGCTCTTCGTGAGACCGATTTCTGAAACTGATCTTAGACAAGCATGCAGGCTACGAGGTTAAATGTCTACATATAAAACCAGAGATGAACAATTCTCTTGTTCACCAAACTGCTCGCTCTTTTTTGAGTCAGAGCTCCAGGCCTGTGTTTTTGGTCTATCATAGGAAGACTTCAGAGGGCAGTGTCACACAACATGATGTCAGCAGAAGCCTCTTTCTAAGATC